GGAGGCCAGAGGTACTGGCACAGGCTGTGGCCTTAGGAGCCGAGGGACCGTGACCTGTTTCAGAGGATTGGAGACTGCTGGCCCCAGTTTTCTTCAGCTCGTTTCTCTGTGTTTAGCTTCTGATCTCATCAGGATAGTAGAGAGGCTAGCTGGAGGCATCGCCTGAGTTTTTAAATCCCACTGCTAGAGCTCAAATGTGGGTTTGTGGATGTCTACCCAACACCCTTACACCCAGGGGGCAATCACCTAGGACAGTCACTTCTCCTTCAGGGCAGTTAGTCTGTTTGTTTTTTAACGCATGCTATTTCTTTCCCCTAGAAAATCATGAGCTTTAAATTATGCTGAAATCTGAACCTGGATATAGTCTTTCCTTCATTTAATCACTTTTCTTGGTTCATGGACACAAGCTTGACACAAGTGAATTTGGGAGGTAGAACTTAAGCCCCATAAATGAAATAATGGGAAGGTTTAGCATGAACCTCAGGATGAACTCTGGGTTAAAAGGATTGAAGCAGAGGCAGCTTCTTTTTTTCAGTTTATTTATTTTGAGAGAGAGACAGAGAGAGTGAGCAGGGGAGGGGCAGGGAGAGAATCCCAAGTAGGCTCCACACTGTTAGCAAGGAGCCCAGTTCTGGGCTCTAACTCACAAACTGTGACCTAACCCTAAACCAAGAGTCAGACGCTTAACTGACAGAGCCACCCGGTCGCCCTGTGGAGGAGGCTTCTTTAATGTTTGTTTCTTTTTTCCTTTTTGTGATATAATTCACATACCACACAATCCACCCATCTAACATGTGCAGTTTAATGTTTTTTAGTATGTTTACAGTTGTGCAGCCAACACCACATTCAATCTTTGAACATTTTCATCATATCCCCAAAAAAACCCCTGTACTCATTATCAGTATTATTCATACACCCTAAAGAACTAGTAACCCACATTCTGTCCCTATGGATTTACCTCTTCTGGACATTTCATGTAAATGGAATTGCACATTACATGGCCTTTTGTGTCTGGCTCCTTTTACTTAGCATGTTTTCAGGAGCCATCCATGTTGTAGCATAAAGCCTTTCAATTCTCTTGAACACTCTTTTGAATGCCTACATGTAAAATTGCTGGGTCATATGGTAACTCCATGTTTAACATTTCAAGGAACTGCCAGACTGCCTTCCACAGCACCTGTACCATTTCACTTCCCACCAGCCATGTCCTCCGTGTCCTTGCCAATACCTGTTATCTTTAAGATGATAACCATCCTACTGGGTGTGAACAGTACCCCCCAAGGTGGTTTCCATTTGCATTTGCTTCATGGGTAATGAGGTTGGGCATTTTTTTTCCATGAGCTTAGTGGCCATTTGTGTATCTTCTTTGGTGAAATATTCAGGTTCGGATTCTTTGCCCATTTTTAAGTTGAATTATTTGTCCTTTTATTATTGAGTTGCAAGAGTTCTTTATATATTCTAAATACAAATCCCTGTTCAGACATGTGATTTTCAGGTATTTTCTCCCATCCTGTGGCTTGTCTTTTTTACTTCCTGATGGTGTTCCTTGGTGCACAAAAGGTTTTAATTTTGATAAAGTCCAATTTATCAGTTTTTAAAATTTTGGCATTTGTGCTTTTGATATGATATGTATGGAGGCTTTGCCTAACCCAAGGTTATGACTGTATAGTCCTCTCTAGTCTTCTAAGAGTGTTATAATTCTAGCTCTTACAGGGCTAAAATTAAGGTTTGTGCTTCATGTTGAGTTAAACTTTATGTATGGTGTGAATACGAGATACTTAACTGTTTGAGGCAGCAATAATTAATGTTTGGTGGCAGTGCATAAAAAAGAATGAATAAAATAATTAGATTTATTTTTTTCACAGTATGAGCCACATTTTCCAGGGGGCCACCCTCAACTTTTGTATTCTTTCTATTTCCCTTTAAATGTTTTAATCTGTGGGATATTAGCATTACTATGAATTTCAACATCTTGGTTCACTGCTTGCGTATGATATACAAGGGCATTATTTAGAGTGGCAACTCCTAAATAGCCATTGTAAACTATTTATTTAATTGTATTTCACTCTGGGCAAAATAATCTGTGCTGCCTGGAGTTGCATTCTAGGAGGGAACAAATTATTTTGTGTTACAATTACTGTAACAATAGCAAAAGAAAAACTAACTCATCACCATTGCTGTTAGTTCCCTGAGCCCTAGACTATTAAATTTAAAAACAATTTTTTTAACATTTATTTTTATTTTTTGAGAGACAGAGACAGAGTGTGAGTGGGGGAGGGGCAGAGAGAGAGAGGGAGACACAGAATCCGAAGCAAGCTCCAGGTTTTGAGCTACCTGCACAGAGCCCGACGTGGGGCTCGAACCCACCAACCATGAGATTGTGACTTGAGCCAAAGTCCGAAGCTTAACTGGCTGCGCCACCCAGGCACCTCTAGACTATTAAATTTAGAACCAACCAAGTGTTGAACATACTGAGGCAAACTTTTAGGGAAAAAAGTATCTCTGCCCTTGCAGGTGTAACTCATCTGATGTGGTGAAGGTCAAGCCCTGGCACAAGATTTGCTCATTACACACAGCCTCCCATGGCCAGAGTTAGTTTCTGAGATCTGTAGGATGTTTGAATTTCAGCTGCAGTTTGACTCAAGTCTTGCGCCTGTTCTTTTACTGAGCTGTATCTGGCTGTGCATTCAAAACAGATCACCGTTCTTCATGCCTTCTTTTGGTCAGTTTTGTCAGATGGCCCGGGCAACCGAGCTTCAATCCCCAGTTTCCTTCCCAAAGTGTTTGACTTCCCCTTCCTGACTACTCTTTCCCCAGTTCTCACTGCCACCCTCTGAGTCCAGATCCTGCTCAGTTATATGCTCCCTGAGTCCAGGATTATCCCCTTCCTTTCTGTAGCCCCACAGCCTGATAGGGAGGAAATATCAACAAGTCTTTTTTTATTATCTTCATTCCATATTTGCACAGTTGGAGCTGTATTCATGGGACTCATCCTCCCCCAGAGTAGAAATTAGAGCGAAATGATTAACACATGAAAAAGAAGGCAGTGCTTCTGTCTCCGCACACAAGCCTTGCAGCTGTGGGTGTGACAAGTTAGCACTACTTCCCATGAGCACATCTCTTAACATCAGATGAGAGACTAAATGAAGCACAGAATTATCTCATCAGGCTTCAGCTGTTGCTTGGGGTGTGGATTTTTCTGAAGGATGTCAGGGTCCACACTCTGGAATTCTTCCTCACCTGAAGTTGGAAATCTGTAACATCAGGACTCCACCCTCTGATCCTCACCTCTGATTGAAACTTCCTGCTCTCTGGGGTGCTTAGTCCCTCCCATCATACTTGAGCTTTGACCTCTTCTATTTCCCCCTTCAACCTCACTTCTCTCTTAATTATTTATTCTCTGCCTAGTCTGGATCTCATGCATAGTCTCATGTACGATGTTATTATCAGCATATTCAGTGCCTGATGCCACCACTGTGGTGTAAACCTTCCCATCTCTGACTGTATCCAGCACTGGAAACTCCTAATTGCTCTCCAGTCTTCCTGTCTCCTCAAATGGACTTCATACCACTGCCAACCAACCAGCCACGTGTGTGCTTGGCCAGGGGGCTCGCAGAGCTTGAAATCCAGCTCTCAGCCCACTGAGTAGAAGGGCTGCATCTGCCCAGAGGGATCGCCATCCTCTTGTTGGCACAAAGAGACCATATGGGCTCACAGAGGACCTGGCTGCCAAAATGGCCTTTGGAAAATATCTGACCTACTTGACTCACCAGCCTTTAGATGACAGTGACCATATGGCCAAACTGGAGCACTTCTGAAAGTAAAGGGGAACTATTAAGAAGCATGCCAGGACAATAAACTTAGACTCTGGGTACAGTGTTAGCCATCCCACACCTTGGATTCTTACACTGTAGTCGTATCAAACTGCTGGTCATGGTCAATGGGCACTGTGATATTTACAAATCAAGACGTTTTGATAGTTATTTTGACCACCTTGTTACTAATCTGAAGACATTTTGATTCCTTTCTCTGATCAACTATTAAAGGATGAAATCAAAACATCCTCAAGGTCAAAATGTCAAGACTAAAAAGTGTTCATAGCTTAAACAATGATATTAGGATATATCTAATTCTGTTTTCTTCTATGTTTCTGGTTATTTGATCATAGCACTTTTCCTCCTTAAAACTTCTATCTCCCCCTCCCCATTTCCTTCCTTTCCTGGTTTATCTCCTACTTATTGTTCAGGACATCTCAAGGATCATCTGTTCCAGTGATCTTTCTCTGACACTTCCTGGCTGGGCTCAGTGCCCATCATCTTGTTCCCACAACACCCTGTGACCTTTTTTTTTGTACCTAAAAAAGATACGTCAAAGTCATCTAAATATTCAGGCCTGCCTTGCCCATAAGACTGTAAGGTCCTCAAGGCAAGAATGTTATCTTTTTAATTTTTATATTTTCAGTGGCTAGCACAGTGGTTGACAAATAATAGAATCTCAATAAATATTTGTTGACATGAACAAATTTGAGCTCCTTACTGTACTATGAAGTTAAATATGCTTGTTCTTTATTTCCTAAAGAAGTTCTCGGGATACTAATATAGATTTATACATACTTGGAGCTTTCATGAGATTGACCTTGAGCATGTTGAAGTTGTAGAGACAGATTACTGTTAAATAATTTTTCAAACCATAGACTCATAGAAGAGGAAGAAACATACCCATAATATTAATATATGCCATGCCAAAAGTATGAACAGCGGTATATTAAACTTGCCGTGTAAGTTTGCCATGTCACAGCCAAAATTGTTCTGAGAGTATCAGCAGAGTAATTCTTGTTTAATGCAATGTACGATCATGAAGCACATTGAATAATAGGATTCCATTTTGCCTTGTTTTCAAAACTCTCTGGTGTAGGTATTTTGAGTAGTGGTGTTCAATATTATTTCAATTTTAAGCATTTGTTTTACAATTCTTAACATATTCTTTTTCCATCTTTCTAGAATGTTTCAGACATTTAAAGAATGGTTTTGGAAGGAACGGTTCTGGCTTCCACCAACAATAAAGTGGTCAGATCTTGAAGATCATGATGGACTCGTCTTTGTAAAACCCTCTCATTTGTACATGACAATTCCATATGCTTTTGGCTTGCTGATTATCAGACATTTCTTTGAAAAGTAAGTAGTATTTGTGTGTCTTTCCTTCCCATTCCTCTTCTTTGCCCCAACTCTGGAATACAGAAATCTTTGTAAGAACTTTAAATAATCTGTTGTTCAGAGGTGGCCATTAATGGGCTATAGATTCCTGAGAGAGTTCATCAAATCGTATGTGCACCAAACATTATCTAGAAGCTGAACAATTAAAATTTGGAACACAATCTCCTCAAGTGTGTTAGTTTCACAGTGAAGAAAACTGAGATCAAGAAAGGTTAAGGATCATAGGACTTATGAATGTTAGTGACAGTGTGGGGACCCACTTCATCTTCCACCTCCTATGCTGTCTGACAAAGGATATGGGTTCCCAGAAAGGCAGTGTTAGAAGAGTCTGTGTCACTTTAGAATAAAAGAGCTAAAACGGCTCATTAAAGACTAAACTTAATATTTGCTTTAGAGCATAATTTTAAAGGTTTATTGAAAATTTTAATAGCAGCCCTTCATTCCAAAGTATAAGGAAATCAAAGAAAAAATATCAATTTGCTTTCTCAAAAAAAGTAAACTTTTCTTTTTCTTAATTTAATTTAAATAGATACTACTTCCAACCGTTTTATTAAAACTGTACTCGTGTTATGATAACAGGAGATAAATGTTCATCTAAAATCTCTGTGGTTGTCTCTATTTCAAAAAACTGTTATTAGCACATTAACTTTTTTGGAACAAAAAGAATATTTGAATGTCAAAGTTGGAAAAACTTAAGACAAAACTTGATAAAGATCATTTAGTCCAAGACTAACTGTAATGCAGCTCATATGTTTATAACCATTTGCAGGGTCCTTATCTCAAGAGTTGGTTTGACCAACTCTGTTTCATAGACTCTCCAAAAGGTTTTTGTGCAAATAACCACTTAACTTGAGCCAACAATATGCTATTGCTATTGAGAGGGAGAGGAAGCCCCTGGGTACCACTTAAACTCGAGCTGGGAACATTCGCAAATGTTCTTCCTTTTTGACCATTAATTCCACTTTTTACTCACATGCTTGGGTTTGTCAAAGAATGCATAAATAAAGTAGAATTTGCCGCTGCCTGTCCAATTTAGCAAATTACTTTTCTACTGTCCTGAAATCCTTGCTTCTCTTGCAGAGTATGTGGTGATCTTTGAATTTGGCATCCAGGTCTTCTCCTTATTTGCACCACAGATTTCTCACTTCTCTGTGGACAGCTCCATTTTTTTTTTTTTTTACGTTTTGATCAGGACGGTGAACTAGAAAACTCTTTTGGTTGCCAAAGCAGCACAGCTGTGGAGGACCAAGTTGTTCTGTCTTAGCCTAGGCTGCTCCAACAACAATCAGGAAGGAATCCAATCCTCTTCTAATTCCTCGGGCCATTCTTGCTTCTTCTCGAGGGATTAAGTATAGTCTATGTCATTTTTCCAATCTCCTCATCTAGTTTAACTCCCAATAACTCACCCTTAGCTTTTTTCATTCACTACGAAAATGATGTGTTGGTCCACTAGCCTCACACCTCTGTTTGAATGCAATAGAAGTAAGGAAAATTTAACTTAGAGGTGAGATTATGCCTTTTGAAGCATGCATTTGTATCTTTTTCAAGGTTACCATATCATTTACATTAAACCACATATGTCATAAATAAAATATTACTTACCCCTTGCATATGAGTAGAAACTTATAGTTTAACAAGTACATAAAATCACCAGGGATATGATCTCCATCAAGAAAATAAGAAGTAAGTAACCTGGCCAGGATCACACAGTGTTCAAGGGGTAGATTTGGGACTTGAACTGACATGTTATGACACCAAGTTCAGGACTGTTGGGTATTTATTTTCCCATTATACTAGTACTTCTTGGACTTCCACAGTGAAATAGTCCTGATGGCAGACAAGAGTTAGTTAATATCTCTTGAAATTACAGAAAACATTAGCTAGCAAACGTGAAATTTTCTGAACTATCTTAAAAATTCATGTAAATTTGATACTGTGTTTCAGCATCTCCTATAATGTATTTATCACACAAAAGCTGTCTTCTTTTGTCCTAGGCTGTATTTATATTACACCTACTCATTCCATGAAGTGACCAGTAGCTGTGATTTGGCTGGTTCATTTTAATCCCTTAGTGCTAGCCAGGATGCATTTAAGATCAGGAGGTGATGTCCCTTCCTAGAAAATCAAGAATGGAGAGATAGAATTGATAAAGAACAAAGAAGTAGATCATTTGAAAGGGATTGACATTTGCTTTGTATTTAGGACTCCTTTTCCTTATAAGTTTTAGCTTGTGGCATATCTGTATGTGCATGTTGTTGTTTCTGGGTGGGGAGTGGGGAGTCTAGCACAGCACTTTCTAACCAGTTTATCCAGACTCTTCTAAGCATTCCTTTATGTGTCTGAAATGTGATTTAAAGGGGGATCTGAGCCACTAAAACTTAAATACTTGTAGAATAAACACATTATACCAGAGTTAATTGTGGTCTCAGAAGGGTCAAGGCAAGGATGGAAGTGGTAAAGTCAAAAGGGTATCTTTTTCCTTTCATTTAATTGTGCAATGAATACACTCCCCATTCCTACCATTTCTACCAAGCAACATAAGCTCATGTTGGGATAATATGTCCTCATTCTTCAAAGAAGGAAAGGTGGAATGACCCATCTGTAGCAATTTCCAAGAGTTGAAAAAGGATTGTTATTAACTGTCCTAAATTCAAATAGTCTCAAAATATGCACATTAGACTCAAATGCTATCAGAGACTTACAGTGCTCCAGATAGTTTGTTCTCTCATATAAACCCCCCGGCTTAAACTCTGTTCAAAGAGCCTTTGAATTCTTAGGAACTGGGAATCAATCTTATGCCAGTGAGCTATTGTTTCTGTTTAGGACAAGTATTTAAAAAATTTTTATTTTGGTGGGGGAGAGAGAGAAAGAGAGAGAGGAGGGGCAGAGAGAGACAGAGACACAGAATCTGAAGCAGGCTCCCCGTTCTGAGCGGTCAGCGGTCAGCACAGAGCCCTATGTGGGGCTCAAACTCACAAACTGTGAAATCATGACCTGAGCTGTAGTTGGACGCTTACTGAGCCACCCAGGCGCCCTGCTGTTAAGGAACAGTATTTAAACTTCACGTGCTTAATATCTGCCTAGGGCTGCCTTCCTTTTATTCTATAAAAGAATATTGAAAGCAGGGGAGGAGGATCTCGAATTGCTAGGCTTTTGGCTCACAGGCAACTGATGAAGTGCTAGATGAAGAGGGGGCTGTCTGGGTGTCTGAATGGGGCCATCTGAAGGCTCAATTCTGCAAGAGTAGCAAACCTGAGAGACTCATTCCTTGGCAATTAACCTAACTTTGAACCATTTATATGGGAGCAGAAGTTTGCCTTCTTTTTTCTTCCTCTTGGACTTTTTTTTTATATTCCATATCCATAAAATGAAAGTTCAGGCAAGTTAATCCCTAAAGTATTTCTCGAGTTAAGACCTGTCTCCCTTCTCTTTTTAGTTCAGTTTATCAAATATTTTTTATACTCCATTTTTTTCTCTTTTTTCAAAACAGAGTTTTAAATGAAGTTCCTCTTCATAATTATTTACACTTACATCAGATGAAGTGATTGATTTTTCCAGATTTATTTGAAAAGGAAAGATAATGCTAAAATAGAAAACTATATTTATCTATTTCCTGTGTCTCATCAAAAATGTTGTTTCTGTCCTTGAAGCCCGGGCATCTTATAAAAACAAGACCATTATTTCTCTTTTTTGGTTAAATTAATAATTTTAATATAGGCGTATTCCTCAGATCAGCAAGTATGTTATGGATGTGTATATTTATCCATTGTATATATTCATCCATATACTAATCTCCCACATGACCCTCTAGAGGGGAATGTTATACTTTATTTGGCTTTGAGGTTGGTTGTATTCCTTTACTGCATAAAAACTTTTTTGGCTCAATTCTGCTTTGCTTTTAAAATTTTTCCTAATTTCTTTGTTTCTAACATTTGAGAGAGCATTGAGTGACTCTGACTGAGAACATTACCATATTTAAAATATTGTATATTTGTGTTATTCTATTAGTAAAAACAATGAATGTTTACCTCCCAATAAAAATTTTCAACCAGTACAGGGTGCCAGGGTGGCTTAGTCGGTTAAGCGTCCGACTTTCGCTTAGGTCATGATCTCGCGGTTCGTGGGTTCGAGCCCCACGTCAGGTTCTGTGCTGACTGCCAGCTCAGAGCCTGGAGCCTGTTTCAGTCTGTGACTCCCTCTCTCTCTGACCCTCCCCTGCTCACGCTGTCTCTCTCTCTCTCTCTCCTAGAAATAAATAAAAAACATTAAAAAAATTTTTTTTCAACCAGTAAGTTAGACAAATGAAACAATCCCATTATTTATCCAAAACCTTGTCAAATATTTATTTTGAAACTTTGTTAGTTTCAAGGACTCTTAGTTTTTGTTTGATTTGGACATTTTATGCGAAAGGAAAATTAATTAATCATAGTCCTCAAATCATAGCATGCTCTCTTTGGTCTGTGTAAGACCTCTTTTGACTGATTGATTTGAATTACTTTTTTCATTAATTACCTTTCATCCTTGTTTCCTAGTCCCATTCCTGCCTTCTGGGTTCTAATGTATTTGATGTCTTTTTGTTTGTATGACCCAGTAAAACATGTGCATAAACATAAAGTGCATGTTATCGTTAGTTGACGTAAATGCTATGATGATAAGACCTCATTTTGTTTCTTCTTTGTTAAAATGCAGCCCTCTGTTTTATGATCTATCCACACTGCTCTATGTACATCTGGTGCATACTTAGTTTGTTTTCATATGTCGCTGAAATGTATGGGCCATTTCCAGGAGAACTCGGTCCATGTGGAAGTTGGATTGGCTTATATATTTTATCAAATTATTTTAGAAAAAAATTTATTCAACTCCCATGCTCATAAAAAAGTAAATTGAAGAGCTCAATGATCATTCGTAACCAAAATTTCTGGCATTTAATTAAACACAGAAACCTCTAAATAAGTACTAAA